CGCCACGCCACGCCACACCGCGCCGCTCTGCGCGGTGCAATTGAAATGCCCTGTACAATAGGAGATGAAATACGGGCATGAGGGGGGCGATGTGGAGACCCCAGGGGCAGACTAGCGTCTCTCCCCCCCCCCTTCCTTTCTCCTCCGGTGCTCCGGCCTGTCGTCGCGTCGGGAGAGCGTAACCCTTTCCTTATCCCCCTACTTCCCCACTGCCACCATAAATCGAGGCAAAAGCAAAGCGAAGGTGTGAGGTGGTTGGAGAGCCTGACTGGCCGAGGTGAGGAGGGGGGCGGGGGAGGGGAAGCTGTCGAGAGAAGAGAAAGATCAGCAGGTCGATTTCCACTCGTGCACCTCGCCTAACATATGGTGTTTCGGGTGTTTGTTTAAAATCATTTTGCCATGATGCTTTTCGCAGGTGGCGTCTATGACGTCACGTTCGCAATATTGTTCGCATTCTTTGTTTGAACTTTATTCCGAGTGATACGCTGCTGTATTCATTATTCCTCAAGCATTTTTAACATTTCAAAAATATCCTTTACATAAATATCCTATATATCCTATGTTATCACAGATTGTTGACGTTTTTCGCTGTGCCACTCCGCAGTACTATGCCAGGTCGTCATTATTTCCACCTTATGTTTCGCCGCACCGCTTTGGCCGCCCCGCCCCGCCCGTGTTGTGTTGATCGATACCACTCGTCACGGCTCGGCTCGGCCCCGGCGCCGTGTTTCGGCCGCGGCCCGCTCGGCTCGGCTCGGTCCGGGTCAATGTCAGTGTCGACAATGTGGCTGTCAGTCAGGCGTATACTGCTGCACCGCATGGCACTTCACGGCACTGCACTCGACTCGGCCGCCTTTCCATGTCCGAGTCAGTCAGGCCAAACCCTCTCCATGTCGGCGCGGAGGCCGCGGCCGCGGCAAAATGTGTATTTTGTTCCCACCTCCGCGCCACTCGGCATCAGCGCGGATAGCGAGGCTGGCACGCCAAGCCAGGCGCCACGGGGCTGGCTGTTTCCAACCGCAGATGCAAACTTTGAGAAAAATGAAAGTGTTCTACAATTCTACCAGTTCAAAATAAATAAATGACAAATTTCGGAAAATTTTTCTACGGGTTATTAAGAAGTTCAAAGGAAATCCAATTAAATTGTTAACAATTTCCAATGGAACTGGCCGGAATTACCTGATCATCGAGTAATTTAAAATGGTTTTAGGTCTAAGATTTCAAGTGCCAGCCTCTTCTTGGACTGTATTTGCTTCATATGCATATTTTTGCGATTAAAATACATGCTCGGCGCTTTGAGGGTTCCTCACATATTTGAAATGTCCCTTAATACCCGACAAACCAGATTACATTGCAATTATATTCGTTGCGAAGCAGATTGCCGCAATATTTCCTTCCTGGATACACCGGTTCCAGGCGTGTGAACGGGTTGCATACTCGCACGGAGCCACAAGGCGCCACGGTGAGCGACGGTAGGCAAGCCCGCCCGCATGAATCCAGAAAAGACGGCGCAGATCACCAAGCCTGTAAAACCGCGGAGGCTTGATGTGGCAGTTTGCGGGGCCGTTGTGGGAGCTCGCCAGCCTGGTGTGTGGTGTGCGGCACGCTGTGCGCCAGTGACAGCCTCATCCCGCCCATCCCAGGCCCATCCCGGCCGGCCGAGCAGGCGCTTTCGGACGCGGCCGGGGAGGCTTTGCCGCGCAGCTTGACCGCTCCCTCGCACGCAGCCGAGAGGGTATTACGAAGGTGTGCAATACCGCGCCTAGCCGCACGGTGCGCGAGCCGCGAGCCGAGCCAAGGCCGAGCAGGGCATTGCGACGGCGGTGCAGTCCAGTCCAGGCGAGAACAACCGCGGCGCAATGCGCTCTGCCCTGCAACGCCCTCACCCTCGCCTCCGTTTCGAGTCTCTCTCACTCTCTCTCTCTCTCGCTCTCGCTCTCGCTCTCTCTCTCGCTCTCTCGCTCTCTCGCTCTCTCGCTCTCTC